ATCACTAGAAGGGAAGCTTCTTGAGGACAAGCATCATTTTGCTCACTGCTGTGTCTCCAGTATCTAGGATATGGCTACATTGACCAGTTGCCTCCTACACACCTCCTACTGGGGATGTGCCTGCAACCAAGGTACATGCCCTTGACTGGAATTGAACCTGGGACCTTTCAGTCCACAGGACAGCGCTCTGTCCACTGAGCCAAAATGGTTTCGGCTGTCTTTAGGCATCTCCTTTCTTTTCACCTATTTTTTTTATCCTTTCTCTCTCTCTCTCTCTCTCTCTCTCTCTCTCTCTCTCTCTCTCTCTCTCTCTCTCTCTTAAAAATCCTCACCCAAGAATATATATTTTTTGATTTTTAGAGAAATAGGAAAGAAGAGGAAGAGAGAAACATCTATGTGAGACAGAAACATAATCAGTTGCCTCCCATATGCACCCCAACTGAGGACCAAACCCACAACCTGGGTATATATCCTGACTTGGAATCAAACCTGCAACCTTTTGGTGCATGAGACATTGCTCCAACCAAGTCACACTGGCCAGAGCTTTCCTTTCTCTTTTTGTTCTGCATTACAAAACATCCAGGAGTGGACTAGCAATCTCTGAGAATGGGGAGTTGGAAGTTCTGAGTGGACAAAGGCAAGGTTTTTCTTTAGCATGCTGGCAGAAAAGTCTGAATATTTGTCCTGCAGAAGGCAGACAATTATCTCTCATCATTGATGTTTCTATCTCTCTTCCTCTCCCTTTCTCTCTGAAATCAATTTAAAAAATATATAAATATATACATATATATTTAAAAAGAATGAACTCTGTGATTATGAAATCTTATTGCATGTGTAATGTGTAAAACCCAGTTAAGTCATATGAGAATAAACAGTTTTCCTAAGATAGATCTTTAATTCAGAAACAAAGGTCACCAAAATTCAGAGATAAATGTTTATTCAAACATTCCACAAGGAAGTATATATAAATATATATTTAAATATATTTTATTGATTTTGTACAGAGAGGAAGGGAGAGAGATAGAGAGCTAGAAATATCAATGAGAGAGAGTCATCGATCAGCCGCCTCTTGCACACCCCCTACTGGGGATATGCCCGCAACCAAGGTACATGCCCTTGACTGGAATCGAACCCGGGACCTTTCAGTCCCCAAGCTCTATCCATTGAGCCAAACTGGTCTCAGCAGGAAGTATATTTTATAGAAGACATCCTAATATTAGCCAAATACCTAGTTGTAGTCCAGATCATTCAAAGCTGCATGAATGACTTAGCCTCAGTAGGATGAACTCACTAATTGCAGGGCAGCAATTATACGGTACTAAGCAACAGTCCAAGGGCTTCAAAGGCCAGGGTAAGTATGGAAGCAACCAAGCTTTTAAAAAAAAGTTTAGAAGTGTAGTTGCTGCCAAACTGACTAATTTCTAAAAATTATTTGTTCTGATATTAATAAGGAAGCCTAGATATGAAAACCAAAAAGATCCATTTCTATATCTAGACTGCTAAGATATTATTCCTATTTTATAGGCAAGGCAACCAGCAGATGTTCCAAAAGCAGCTTGCCTAAAGCCCTTCAGCTAATAGTGAGCAAGGACTCCTCCTTCTGAGGAACAGAGGGTGGAGTTCTTAGGATGAGAGTGGAACAGATGCACTCTCTGCTCCTCTCCCTTTATTGCAGCCCACACTGAAAGGATGGCACTTCCTCACCTCCTGAGGCTCACTTTGCTCATAAGTCTCGAACAGGATATAGAACAAATGGCACCCAGTATAGGGTGGCTGTGCAGAGACCTCAACATGGCCTGACTCAAACCTGGAGTTCACCATGAGATTGCCTCTCAGATGGTTAAGGTAAGCCATGCTGAAACCTCCATGCTGATGAACAGAGTTTAGAGAGCTGAGGAAGTACAAATTAGTAAACAGAAGTTGCAGATAGAATAAAGAATAAATATAGCTGTAATAAAAATGGCTGAGGGGAAAGTGAAGCTGATATCCTGGTGGGAGATGAAGGAAGTAGGGCCTGAGAGCCAAGTTAGATCCAGTGAGCCAACTCTCTTACAGAGCCTTGTCCATGGCATAGGGCACCCGAATCTTTAAACTAAATTCCTATTGCAAGGCCACAGGAGCCTCTGCTCTGGAACACTGCAGGAATTGGACTGAAGCAGTGAGGGGTTCAGAGTCACAATTCACCTTTCACCTGAGCCGTGGAAGTCACGGTTCCATTCCTGGTCAGGGCACATGCCCGGATTTCAGGGTCAATGAAAACAGCCAGTTTTCAAAGCACATTTGTTAAATGTGTTTGAATAAGTGAATCAATAGTCTTATTTTCCCAGGACCTAATTTCCCACGGCATCCTAGGAATAACTCCTGGATATGAACACCTTCTGCCTTCCTGGTTCACAAGTTGCTTTCATATACTTTAATTGCCTTTTATCTTTACAACAACCCTGTGAGAAACCCAAAGCTGATATTAGCCTCACTTGGAAAATAATTATCATCCATCCCCATTTTACTGATGAGAAAATTGAGGCTTGGAGAAGTTAATAACATGCTCAAAGTCACAGGCTGAGGACAGAAGCCAGTGTTCTTTCATCAGAGGCTGGCCCCCTGCCTTCAAGTGAATCACAGGCAAGGAGGTTGGAACACCATAGCAACTTCATTTCAAACAATATTGATGCGATTACATCTTATACTCTTCCCAGACACATTCAAGTGTGTTAGTGGCTTTGAATCACAAATCCTCTGAACTGGGTGATGAGGGTGGCAGGGTTGGTTCTTTCCTGCCAGGAAGGCTTTGCACAAGCTTTAATAGGGTGCAAGAAACCATTCCTGTAAGTTTGGTTAGCCATTAGACTGGTCTGAGGAGAGATTAGGGGCAGGATGGCAAAATGTGGCAGGGCAATTGAACCAGGAAAAGAAAAAATGATGGAGGAGGAAAATTGGGGAGAATGGATTGATTGGGAAGAAAAATTGTAAGAGTACAGGAGAAACAAAAGGAAAGGCAGTTCAGTTGTATAAATTAGCTGTAGCCCTGGGCTTAGTGGCTGCTTTCTCCACCAACAAACTACAAATCAGAACCTCTGCAAAAGCAGTGGTTGCCAAAGAGCCATGGTCCAGTAATCAAGGCACTTAATTTAAAAAAAAAAGTCCCCAAACCTTCCTACTTCCAGGGGAGAGGAAGGGGAAGGATGTACTAGTTATATACAATATGTTACTTTAAACACTTAAGGTGTAATGGTATGTGATCCAGAAACCAGTGAGACCAGCTCTGAAACTGTGCAATCACTTCTTAGATATGACTTAGGACAGGTAATTTTAATTTTGTCGGTCCTCATCTGTAAAATTGACATTAAAAGTATTTGCTGCCCAGCCTGCACCGTGGCTCAGTGGTTGGAGATCACCACATTACTGGATCCCAGTGTGGGGCATGCAGGAGGCAGCCAAAAAGTGATTCTCTCTCATCACTGATGTTTCTTTTTCTCCCTCTCCTTTCCTCACTGAAATCAATAAAAATACATTTTTAAAAAAGTATTTGCTTCTCAAAATTGTATTAAGTCAGAGGGTATTAAATGGAACCAGGCACTAGTTAGCACTCAGGATAATGGTTGTTATGATTCATACTCAGGAATTCAGCGACTACAGAAAAGCACATCCTAACCCTACCACTGTTTGTTTTGTTTTGTGTCCATTGGTTGTATTTATTTATTTATATTTTATTGATATTTTACAGAGAGGAAGGGAGAGAGATAGAGAGCCAGAAACGTCGATGAGAGAGAAACATTGACCAGCTGCCTCTTGCACACCCCCTACGGGGGATGTGTCCGCAACCAAGGTACATGCCCTTGACCGGAATCGAACCCAGCACCTTTCAGTCCGCAGACCGACACTCTACCACTGAGCCAAACCGGTTTCGGCCATTGGTTGTATTTATATGCATGCATACAAGTCCTTCAGTTGATCTATTATCTCCCTCATATCTCCCTACCCTCTCCGCTGTAATTCAACAGTCTGCTTGTTGTTTTACTGTCTCAATATCTATCTTTTGGTTCATCAGTCTATAATGTTCTTTATTATCCATAAATGAGTGAGGTCATGTGGTGTTTCTCTTTCATTGACTGGCTTATTTCACTCAGCATGATGTTCTCCAATTCCACCCAGGTTCCTACAAATGATGAGAATTCCTTCTTTTTTATGGCAGCATAGTATTCCATTGTGTAGATGTACCATGGTTTTTTGATCCAATCATCTGCTGACAGGCACCTAAGCTGTTTCCAAATTCTAGCTATTGTAGATTGTGCTGCTATGAACATAGTTAACCCTACCACTGTTAACACATCCACCTTAGTCTTTGCTTTTCCTACTCAACAAGCTTTACAGCTCTCAGCAATCCTTCGTCTAAAACTAACACTCATGCCCAGAGCTGAGGTGGGCCAGGAAAGGTGCGGGTTGGGTGAGGGCAGGAAGAAGCTGGCCAAGGGCAGGACCCTCCAGGGTGAACAGTTTGGGCCGGGGAATAAACAAGACTTCTGACTGTCCTAGAGCAGCTAGTGGACTCTATGTTCGGGCGGTGCTCCTGCCCACCAAAGCTGGAAATGACTTTCAGAATGGCGTCAGCGTGCTTCCAGAATATAACTAGCTGAGAAGTTGTTGTCTATTCAAAATTAAGCATCTTGTAGGGCGAGATTCCACACTTGTGTCGGCGCCTGGGTGACCGTGTGGCCCTCCTTCTCCACGTTCTTCATCTTAACGCAGCCCCGCCCGCGCGGAGGGCCTTCTCCGCGCTCCTCGCGCTCAGAGGCGCCCGAGCGGGGATCGGACCGCTGACGGCTCAGGTCCCCCTCGGTTCTCGCGCTCCACTCGGTGACCCGGAGCCGGTGGCAGCCAATCCCTCCCCACCAGCGGCCTGGTGCCGAGTCGCGTTATTCCCCTTCAGGGCGCGCCGAGCCGCAGCCATCCGAGGGGGCGCTCCGCCCGGCACCTCAATAAACCTGCAGGAAGTCCCCGTGGGACCGGTGCCGAGACGCTGCGCGACCCGGAAGCCGGGTGCGGGGACGAACCGGGGAAGCCCCAGCTGCGCAGGCGCCTGAGGAGTCTCTGACCAGGCCGGCGCCGCTTCCGGGCCAACATGGCGGCCGCGTGGCTGCTGCTGCGCGCCCTCCGGCAGGGCCAGGGGCCGGGTCCCGGGCGGCCGTGGGGCCCTTGCCTGGGCTGGGGCCTAAGTCCCTACGTCGGGGTCGGGAGGAGGTGGCCGTACTTCGTCCATAGGACTCCCGTGGGTGTCGCCGAGGCTGGAGGCCGAGTCCTGCAGGTAACCCGGGTCGCGTAGATGCCGCTCCCACCGGGGCTGGGAGTAGGTAGCGCAACGTACAGGCCCTGGCTTGGGTGTTTCCAGCCCATACTTAGTATGTTGTTGATATTTTCTGCCTGTATTCCTTTAAAATGGAAGACAATAAGAGTTTCATCATTTTCTAGCAGAGAAGTATTTTACATTTGGCTCACATATATCACAGCCCATCAAGTAGCTGGCCACAGCCCTCAGGGCCTGAGGGGTTTGTGTGAGTAAAATACCACGTAGCTGTGTTTTTCTTTAGTCGTGTAGCAGCCTCAGACGGTGTCGATGCAAATTCATGGAGCATCTTCGATGTGACTGCTGTGTTCCAGGCCCTGCTAAGGTTGACATTTCGTCCTGAAAGCAAACCCTAAGTCCTGGTGTGTTTTTGGCAGATTTTTCCTCCTCAGCCCTCTCAGCAATTCAACCTTCACATTTTAGGTCGAAGTTTATTATTTTTACATAATTTGAGGACCAATTTTCATTATGGCCCTATTCTAGATTACTGGTCACTTTCCTGAACCTGAGGGCAACTATAGATAGCTATCCCCCTCCTTTTTTCCGTTCTATCGGGAAGGAACATAACTTATTACGGTAAGTCTGACCCTTTGCTTATTCTGTAAAATAAGTTCTGAAATAAACAATTCACACAAATTTTTGAAATCTAAGAAAATTCTCTCACCCATGGCTATAATAGTAATAAACTAAGTAAGTTGGTTTAAACAGTCTTTGGGGCTGACATTGAAGAAGGATGATTTTTGTGAGTGCTATATTTAACACACTGATGTTGCTTATTTATTAGGTCCAGTCCACACTCTGTGGCCCTCTTTTATATGACCTCTTCTTGTCACTGAGTCAAGAATAGTATTATTAATTAAATGGGACAATCATTTTAGAGACTAGGACTTTTCATTCTATTGCTAAAGGAAATTGCATGTGATATGCTCCTCATTGAAGAGCATTGAGCAGGGTGTTACTTTTCTTGATAGCAGCAAAGAGCAGGAATGAGCTAAGGAAAAACAATTAAAAATAAGTGACCCTGGCTGGGTAGCTTAGTTGGTTAGAGCATCCTCTCGATATGCCAGGGGTTTGGGTGTGTTCTCTGGTCTGGGCATGTACAAGAAGTAACCAATGAATTCATCAGTAAGTGAAGGCTGCCTTGTATGTGAAACATGCTTTCTATTATGCATTGACTACATTTTGTTATGCACATTTCATTTGTTTAATAATGTGTATAAGACACCTTTCTAAATGAAACTCTGTGCCACACTTTGCACTACTCCTAACATAATGATAACCTCAAGACTATCAGGAGAAATAGTTAAATTTCCATTTTATGAAGAACCAAATTATTAGTTAAGCTTTTTAAAAAATTACCAGTTTAGCCAAAACCGGCTCAATGGATAGAGCGTCAGACTGTGGACTCAAGGGTCCTGGGTTCGATTCTGGTCAAGGGCATGTACCTTGGTTGCGGGCACATCCCCAGTGGGGGGTGTGCAGGAGGCAACTGATCGATGTTACTCTCTCATCGATGTTTCTAACTTTCTATCCCTCTTCTTTCCTCTCTGTAAAAAATCAATAAAATATATATTTTTAAAAATTACCAGTATACATAATTAATCAGAGTGCATTTTTAAGTTCTAACTTTTTTGTTGTTGATTATATAATGCATCATTTGAAAATACCAAGGAAATAATATTTTTGTTTTTAATAATGAATGAGTGGAAGTAATGCTAGTTGGCAGTATTTGGTTATGAGGCATCAATAAAGTAATTGTGGCCTAAACCGGTTTGGCTCAGTGGATAGAGCGTTGTCCTGTGGACTGAAAGGTCCGGGTTCGATTCTGGTCAAGGGCATGTACCTTGGTTGCGGGCACATCCCCAGTAAGGGGTGTGCAAGAGGCAGCTGATTGATGATTCTCTCTCATCGATTTTTCTAACTCTCTATCCCTCTCTCTCCCTCGCCGTAAAAAATCAATAAAATATATTTAATAAATAAATAAAGTAATTGTGTTTATTTTATTTTTTTACACTTCACTGTAGTTTATTTATTTTAAAATATGTTTTCATTCTTAACTTGCATCTTTTTTATTTTTTATTTTTTATTGATTTTTTACAGAGAGGTAGGGAGAGAGAGAGCTAGAAACATCGATGAAAGAGAAACATCAACCAGCCGCCTCCTGCACACCCCCCACCTGGGATGCACCCGCAACCAACGCACATGCCCCCTACTGAAACCGAACCCAGGACCCTTCAGTCCACAGACCAATGCTCTGCCACTGAGCCAAACCGGTTTCGGCTCACTGTAGTTTATTGAAAGCACTGTGCTCACAGTCATGAATGTGGTTGTCTTAGTGTCTCAGATTTTTCTAAAATTATAATGTGATGCTGGCTATTCACACTTGTTGCAAATATGGCCCTGCTTCCTGGGCACACTGCTCCCTCCCTCCCAAATAGAAGATTCAAGTGGTTGGAATTCAAGATCAGCTTGACTCCTTTAAAGTAATTGTGTTTTTAAAAAATAGTAAGTGAAACAACACATAGATGTTTCTCTCCTCTTTCTTTTCTTTTCTTTTCTTTTTTTTTTAAAATATATTTTATTGATTTTCCACAGAGAGGAAGGAATAGGGATAGAGAGCTAGAAACATCGATGAGAGAGATACATCGACCAGTTGCCTGCTGCACGCCCTCTGCCAGGGATGTGCCCGCAACCAACATACATGCCCTTGACCGGAATCGAACCTGGGACCTTTCAGTCCGCAGACCGATGCTCTATCCACTGAGCCAAACCCATTTCGGCCTCTTTCTTTTTCTTTTATTTTCTCTGTCTCATATCAATCAATCAATCAATCAACCAACCAATGAAATATTAATAAATAGTAGAACAAATAGTGAAATTGCCAACATAGACACAGAAAAAATTAAATTGGCCTTAAGAATATGGAACATATTCAAGTAGGAGAATGCTCATCCTGAAAACAGAATTTTGGAAATAAAATTGGTACACTACTGTAATACATGGAAGACTGATCCTGGTTGTCCTTTTTTTTCCCCCCCAGAGTTTCCAATTGCAACTGCTAACCCCTACCTTTGAAGGGATCCATGGATTGTTATTGAAACAGCATCTTGTCCAGAATCCAGTGAGGCTCTGGAAGCTTTTAGGTGTGTATCTGTTGAAAGACAAGTGACAGGCAAAGCATGTGCCATTTGTGAGTAAATTAAGGGTAATGTTGCTGGTTTGACATTGACAGAAAAATGAAATCACTAATAGGACCTTTGGCTTCTATATTATCATGAGTCCTTAGACGCTTTGAAATGAAGTTTATGAAAAGGATGGTTATTTAAGATCAGAACAGGCCACTTTTGCTTATTTTGAATCATTTGTGTTTTGTTTTTTTAAAATATATTTTATTGATTTTTCAAGAGAGGAAGGGAGAGGGATAGAGATCTAGAAACATCTATGAGAGAGATACATCAACCAGCTGCCTCCTGCACACCCCCTACCAGGGATGTGCCCGCAAACAAGGTACATGCCCTTGACCAGAATCGAACCTGGGACCTTTCAGTTGGTAGGCTAACGCTCTATCCATTGAGCTAAACTGGTTTCGGCTGTTTTGCTTTTTTTTTTTTTTTTTTAATTCTGGTGTAGAGCAATAATTGGGCTGCTTGAAAAGTTTTGTCATGTTCTCATGTTCTCTAGCCAGCTCCACGAATGTTTGTAAGGATCTATAGAGTGGCTCATGTGTTTATAACCAGAAGGTAACTAAAACTAGTCTGGAAATAATTTGCTCTCACTATAGAGTTCCACTGTTCAGTGAGACCTGCTGTCTCTCTTGACTTTAGGTCAAAGGTCCTTTTGGAGTGACTTCTGTAATTTTACTCCCTCCTTCATCCAGTTGGAATAGGGAAAGATTAAAATCTTTTGACTCCAAGTGTGCATCAAATAACCTGGTGTCTGCACATGGTGAGAAAGCTGTGACTTGGGGCAGTTTGCACATCTGGTATCTGTGTTTTTTCATTTAAATTTACACATGCACTCAGTGGTACACCCTTCACCCTTCAACAGCCTGATCTGTGTCAAATAGCCATTAAGGTAGTTTCACTTGTGATTTTGTTAATCCTGTGAAGAAAAGTATAACTCGGTCATGGTTTTGAGAATCTTTTACCCCCGTTTTTTACAGATTGGTTAAGACCTTGGATAAGATAGGCCTTTTGTATGAGGAGTGCTATGTAGTCCTGTTTTGGTGATGGTGACAGTTGGCTCGCTGCCTTACTGCATGTGCCAAAGCCACTTGTGTCCTTTGTTCATTTAAGTGACTGTATATATTAAAGGGTTTATTCTTCAATGAATTCCTGACATGTTCTCAAATTTACATTCATAACTAATTTTCACTTCCTCACATTTAAATCACAAAGATATTTCATAAGTTGAAGTAGTTAATTATTTTATAACTAGAGGCCTGGTTCATGAAATTCGTGCATGGGTAGGGTCCCCAGGCCTGGCCAGAGATCAGGGCCCATCTGTGGGGTGATCGGGGTTGGGGGGGCCCGCTGGCACCTGCCTTGGCCAGCCTGGCACCGCCTGCTTCCCGGCCCTGTCTCCTAGTACCACCAGTCGCCTCCCTCGGTGGGGCAACCTGGAGGGCAATCGGGGCTTCTGCTGGCACCTGCCTTGGCTAGCCTGGGACCTGTGGCCTGGGGGCAGCTCCTGCATTGAGTGTCTGCCCCTTGTGGTCAGTGTGCATCATAGTGACTGATCTTACCACTGATCATTCCACTGTTCAGTCGATTTGCATATTAGGCTTTTACTATATAGGATTTGTAGATATTATACTAAGAATGCGATAGAAGTAAATGCTTTATCTCACACTTCTATATCTTATAGGTTTTGGATAGTTTCTATTTTGATTTGGTTATTTGAAAATGTACTCTTTTACTAAGTGTTCCACTATAGTTGCAGATCTTGATTGTTAAACACTTTCCTATTCCTGTAGGTGGCACTTACTATTTTAATACCTCAAGGAAGAAGCAGAAGACTAAGGACCATGATAAATCCAAGGGGAGGACCCCTGAAGATGATGAAGGTAGCTTATTGGATGTTCTGGAATGATGGCTGGCTTTGTTGCCTTCACAAGCATATTCTAGACAAAGCAACAGGAAACCTATTTTAATTTTTTCCATTGATTTTTTAATTTTTATTTTTATAGAGAGTGGAAGGAAAGGAGATAGAAAGGGCGGGGGGAGAGAGAGATCAATTGTTTGCCTGCTGCATGTTTCCCAACAAGGGCAGGGGATCATACCTGCAACCCAGATATGTGCCCTTGAGCAGGAATCGAAACTGCAACGGTGAGGGTAGATACTCTTAACCATTGAGCTACTGGTCAGGGCAGAAAACTGTCTTAAAAGTAGGGCAAGCATCTGTGCTCCTCTCCCTGTGAGTAACTATCCCCAATCTCTAATTCTGTTGCTGGGTCCTTCCTGCCTGTCCTTTTAGAGATGCTTTCAGCAGCACCTGTCTGGTGAACTCTTCAGAATGCCTAAAGATAGGGAGCATTTCTGTTCTTTGCATGGAAAAAGTGAACCTTACATCTCCCCCATGCTCAAGAGTTCTGGGACACAAGGAAGATACTAGGACTCAAGGAAGATACTAGGACTCCTTAGATAGACTCAATCCCATAAACACCTGGTTAGTATTTCCACAGCCTCCAGGCTTGAGAATTAGCCCCAGAGGAGAGGGTGCAGTGTAAGGAAAACATAGGCGATCACTGTTCTGTAAAAGAACCGCTGTGATCCTGTCTCAGCCTCCAGTCCCAGTTCACAGTGAACTCACTTGCAAATGTTGTCTCATCTCTACTCTGAAATTGGGACCGGATGATCATATAAAGGGTGAGGGAAATAAACATGTAAGTTTGAACAGAGTTTACCTCTAAGGAGCTGATGATAATGAGAATGAAGGAACTGGGGCAGCTTGTGCTAAGGGTGCAGCCGTGTGTGTGTGTGTGTGTGTGTGTGTGTGGTATGGTGGGTGTTGTGTTCGTCCACACATACATACCAGTCTGGTTTTTATTTGAAAAGAATTGAACTTTTGTGAAGAAAACGGAACAGGTATTTAGTGGAGTCCAAATCCTAACTGTCCTTTTATTGTTTTTAGACATTCTGAAAACTGTCTTATTTAACACCAAGCTGTATATCTTTTGAAAATTGTAGCTTTGTTTCACACTGTAGAACAGATGGTTGTGAGTCACAGAGTTACTTTTTTAAACCCCTTTCACATGGGGTGTGGTGGGCATTATGTACAGAGCATTGAGGAACATCAGTTGATTTGTGCATTGCAGCCACCCAGTCAGGAACGGGATTTACAAGTTCAGTGTCTTAAATGTATCGAAAATAGACATTATGATCATATAAAGCCTCTAAAGGAGAGATGTTGTCATGAAACTCATTCAGGTCAGTGTGTTTTGGTTAATTTGATGACTGTCAGCATTATTTATTAGAGAACAAGATTGAAAATAAAATATTTGAAATAGATGGTTTCTAAATAATTAGTACTCACCTGAGAACATAAATTTGCTTTCCAGAATAATTTATATCCTCTATTTAACTGCCTCCTGTGAGTATGAATTTTAAACATTAGGTTTATCACTATAATCTATTATAACAAGATATGAGCCAAAATCGGTTTGGCTCAGTGGATAGAGCCTTGGTCTGCAGACTGAAAGGTCCCAGGTTTGATTCCAGTCAAGGGCATGTGCTTTGGTTTCGGGCACATCCCCGGTGGGATTGTGCAGGAGGCAGTTGGTCGATGTATCTCTCTCATCGATGTTTCTAGCTCTCTAACCCCCCCCCCCCCCCCCGTGAAAAATCAATAAAATATATTTTTTAAAAAGATAAGAAATATCAGATTTACTATAATGTATTTAAAATGATTACTAGGACAGCCTTCTAGTAGGTTTCATTTGTGTGTGGGTTTTTTCAACTTTTGAATTCTTTATTCTACTGTTCTCTGTTTTGTCATTTAGTTTTAAGCTGATTTAAAATGCATTTGAGCCGAAATCGGTTTGGTTCAGTAGATCAGTGTTTCCCAACCTTCTCTCATGATGAGAATCACCTGGTGGAGTTGTTAAAACACAGATTCCTGAATCCCAACTAAGAAGTGCTAAACTAGAATTTTTGGGAACATATAGGTAAAATTGTATACTTAACTAGTGCTCTAAGACAGATTTTATATACAGAGCACTAAGTTAGGTATGCAATTTTACCTATATGTTCTCAAAAATTCTAGTTTAGCACTTCTTAGTTGGGATTCAGGAATCTGAGAAGGTTGGGAAACACTGCAGTAGATAAAGGGTCAGCCTACGGACTGAAAGGTCCCAGGTTCAATTCCAGTCAAGGGCATGTACTTTGCATGTACTTTGGTTGCTGGCACATCCCCAGTGGGGGGTGTGCAGGAGGCAGCTGATAGGTGTTTCGCTCTCATTCATGTTTATCTCTGTCCCTCTCTCTTCCTCTCTGTAAAAAATCAATAAAATATATTTTTAAAAAATGCTTTTGAATTTCTCTAAACTGATACTGGAGAGGAAGATGGTGTGTTTGTGGGTGATACCTCTAGGCAGTGCAGAGAGGAGCAGGTGCACGGTGAGTTCCACCTGTTCTCTTGTCCTTGGAGACTACATGTGTAGCTTGCTGTGGACCTCCCACCCCAGGCTTTGGGCTGAGCCTGCATTTGTCTTGGGTCCTCTCTGGGCTTCCTTGGAGTGGATGAGCACCTTTGTGCATGAAGGGACACATGGATTGTGGGGAGAACAAATAAGTAGCTGAAGTTTTGGCTGCTGAGATCTGGATCCATCTTGGGCAAAACGTGAAAGGTTGCTTGCATTTCTCAGTGGGCATCATTAGCAACAGGTCTGGTAGAATCTAGTTGGAGTGTTGGGGAAGATGAGCCATACTGCGTCGGTGAGCTCCACAGGATTAGTTCTAAGGCCTCTTTTTGTAAAGAAATGCCGGATGGTTGTAAGGACGGATACATGGGCCATGACCATGAAGAGCACCACATAATTAAAATATAGCACCTTTCCCTCCACCTCAGCAGAGGAGAGGGCTTGTCTGATCAGGGGACTTGGGCAGAAGAGATCTTTTGGTGGGTCACTAAAATCCAGTCAACCTGTAGGACTCTGTTTCCCAGCTTTGCTGTGGCCCAGAGAGAAGTGACCCCTGCGTGTGCTTTCTGTTCCTCCCCAAAAGTTTCTCCTTCATTTCCTCCTTCCTGGAGTGTTCCTCTGTCCACCATCTGCTGAGGTTGACTCATCTCTCCCGAGGTTTCCTCATGACTAGATCTGGGACTGAGCCCTCTATCTTTTTCCATTCCCAAGAACTGAACTTGAAGTTGTATATATTTAAAAAATATATTTTTTAAATATATTTTTATTGATTTTTTTACAGAGAGGAAGAGAGGGATAGAGAATTAGAAACATTGATGAGAGATAATCATCGACCAACTGCCTCTTGCACACACACACAGCCCTCCCCCCCCCACTGGGGATGTGCCCGCAACCAAGGTACATGCCCGGGACCCTTCAGTCCGCAGGCCGACGCTCTATCCACTGAGCCAAACCGGTTTCGGCTGAAGTTGTCTATATTTTAAGTTGGGTATTAATAACAGTGATGTGCCCTAGCTGGTTTGGCTCAATGGATAGAGTATCGGCCTGCGGACCGAAGAGTCCCAGTTACTAGTTCAGTCAAGGGCACGTGTCGTGTTGCAGGCTCAATCACCGGTGGGGAATGTGCAGGAGGCAGTCGATCAGTGATTCTCTCATCATTGATGTTTCTGTTTCTTCTTCTCTGAAATCAATTTAAAAAAAATAAGTGAGTAATGCAATATGGTGGTGATGGGGGAGTTACCTGATGGATCTGAGAAAGAATTGTTCTTTAAGAATAATCTAGAATTAATGCCGAAACTGGTTTGGCTCAGTGGTAGAGCGTCGGTCTGTGGACTGAAAGGTCCCAGGTTCGATTCCTGTCAAGGGCATGTACATTGGTTGCGGGCACATACCCGGTAGGGGGTGTGCAAGAGGCATCTGGTCGTTGTTTCTCTCTCATTGACGTTTCTAACTCTCTCTCCCTCTCCCTTCCTCTCTGTAAAAAAATCAATAAAATACATTTTTTTAAAAAAAAAAAGAATAATCTAGAATTAAGTAATTCCCAGAATTAAGTGGATCCCAGTATGTGTCTAATGACTATACATATCTTGCACTATATATATATATATATATATATATATATTTTTTTTTTTTTTTTTTTTTTTGAGAGAATAAGAGAGAAAGAAGAAATCTATGTGAGAGAGGTACATCCATTGGCTGCCTCCAGTACATGTCCTGACCACAACCCACAACCTAGTCATATGCCCTGACTGGAAATCGAGCCAGGGACCTTTCAGTGTATAGGATGATGCTCCAGTCAACTGACTAGGGCTACCTTGCACTTTTCAAATCTAATTGTGATGAATGACATATAACTTATTTGTATGTTACTCATTATAAATATTAAGTATAACATAGTGGTTAGGGGGAGGATACATGGGGTCTTTAGAGGCGTCGGAAAGGTATTATTTCCTTTATTTTAATTTATTATTAGTAAATATATATATTTTAAAATATATTCTTATTGATTTCAGAGAGGAAAGGAGAGGGAGAGAGAGAGAGATAGAAACATCAATGATGAGAAAATCATTGATTGGCTGCCTCCTGCACACCACCCACCGGGGATCGAGCCCACAACCCGGGCATGTGCCCTTGACTGGAATTGAACCTGGGACCTTCAGTCCACAGGCCAACACTTTATCCACTGAGCCAAACCAGCTAGGGCTTATTTATTTATTTTTTTAATATATATATATATATATATATATATATATATATATATATATATATATATATTTTTTTTTTTTAATTTCAGAGGGAAGGGAGAGGGATAGAAATAGAAACATTAGTGATGAGAGAGAATCATCAATAGGCTATCTCCTGCTATTTCTCTAAGCTCACAACCCAGGCATGTGCCCTGATCAGAGCCTAACCATGACTTCCTGGTTCATAGATTAACGCTCAACCACTGAACCACATTGGCCAGGCAGGAAATGTATCATTTCTTAAGGTAGGTGGTGGTAAAACTTATTTGTTTTATTGTTATTAATACTTATAGGTGTTATAAATACTCTGTTGATGATGTTTAGTATCTAATCAAACCTGGAACCGGAAGTACCTGACTTTATTATGGCTTGGGTCAGATATGTTTTCATTGAAGGAGTTTTCTATGGAGCTGCACTTTATGGTGGTCCTGGGAGGTTTTGTTTTGTTTTGTTTTTTAATGTTTTTATTGATATTAGAGAGTGAGTGAGGAGAGAGAGACAGACAAACAGACCAACAGACATCATTCAGCTGTCTCCTGACCAGAGCTCAAACCTGCAACTTGGGTATGTGCCCTAGTTGGGAATCAAATTGGCTTTCCTTCGGTATATGAGATGATGCCTAACCAACTGAGCCATATGGCCAGGGCCTGGAAAGCTTTTTAATTTTAAAAATGGTTTTATATTATCTGAGCTGGTGGGACCTCTGAATGGAATGTTTGTAACTTTGAAAGGCTTGTGATTAGCGTTTGTCTTGAATCGCTTTGTTGAAAAATAGTCCAGAATGTATGATCTTGTGGGAGATAAGACATTACTGTCTTAGCGTTGAGCTTTCCTGATGAAAGGATATAAAGCATAGAGGGGAGGCGTGGCCTGAGGTCTGCGTCTAACACTTCTGATCCCTGCTCACAGAGGAGAGGAAACGCAAGGAGCGGGAGGACCAGATGTACCGTGAGAGGCTGCGCACATTGTTCATCATCGCCGTGGTCATGAGCCTGCTGAATGCATTTAGCACCAGCGGCGGCAACATTTCCTGGAATGACTTTGTCAACGAGATGCTGGCCAAAGGCGAGGTGCAGCGGGTCCAGGTGGTCCCTGAGAGCGACGTGGTGGAAGTGTACCTGCACCCTGGAGCCGTGGTGTTCGGGCGACCTGTGAGTGATGACAAGGGCACGAGCGTGGAAAGACCTGGAGACGAGTGTGTATCCTCCTTTTCACTCAGTCCCTGCCCACCCTCATTTTTTTGGTTGTCATATTTTTATGTCTTCTTAAAAGAAGATGTGAGTATCTTTATTTAAAGGAGGATTTCTTGGAGGTTTTTGAGTGGTGGCCCACTAAGATGGAGCTTGAAAGGGGAGAGGCAGTGTTGTCTTCAGATAGAAGCTAGTGGGGTCCACAGATGCCATGATGTCAGAACACTAAAAGGAAGAGTTGAAGTAGTGACAGGTTGGTCATAGTGGTGACTCCCTGTAATAGGGACTAAGGGGAGAGGAGCCAGTTGCAGTCCTGTGCTTTTGTTCATTCTGTTTAGGTGTCTGGTGTGTGGTGCTGGCCAGAGGTTAGCAGACAGGGTAGCTTGTGGCAAATGGATGTGATATGAGGTGATTAGGGGTTGGCGAAGCAGAAATCTCTTGGGGGGTTAGAGTGGGGACAAAAACTTAACAGTACTGCCCTAGCCAGTTTGGCTCAGTGGATAGAGCGTCGGCCTGAGGACTAAAGAGTCCTAGGTTCGATTCTGGCCAAGGGCACGTGCCCAAGTTGCGGGCTTGATCCCCCGCCCCCTAGTAGAGGGCATGCAGGAGGCAGCCAGTCAATGATTCTCTCTCATCATTGATGTTTCTATCTCTCTATCTATTCTTTCAACTCTGAAATCAACAATATATATGTGTACACACACACACACACACACACACACTAACAGTACTGCGAGGGGGTGGCTAAAGGACTAGAGTCTGCAAGGGCTGGTCCTCCAACAGGAGCAAGAAAGGGAACAAGGAGCCTGTATCATTGCCTAGCTCAGGCATCCCCCTCGCCTCAGGAGAGAACCCCAGCCTAGTCAGAACTGGAGAGCAGTGCCCTAACCAGAGAGGTGGCAGACACTGCAGAGGGGTCAGGAGTGTGGGATTTCATACCAGGTATGAAGTTAAGACAAAGATTGCAAGAGACACACCCTAGTGTCAGTGGCCTAGTTGTCTGGCACTGCTGGGAAAAGAGGTGAGGCGTACGGAAACAGCCCCAAAAGTTTGGGTGAAAATCCTTGGTGCAAATGAATCACTCTCCAATCTCTGATTCCCTTCTTTTCATTCTCTGATAGTCACAGCATCATAGTTTGGCCCAAGAAAGGTAACATTGCATCAGAATTTTTTTTTCTTTTGTCTTTTTTCACCCAGGACTTTATTTTTTTACTTTTTAAATATATTTTTATTGATTTCAGAGAGGAAGGGTGGAGTATTCTCTCCCTCACATCATGCTCCCACAGCATGCCCCAGGTGCACTACATTCTCTACTCTGGTTTTTTAATATGGTGGAGATGTCAGTGGAGTGCTTATCCTGCCCTAAGATGCTTGGCTGTGCGTACAGCACAACCCAATGACTCTTAGATCAGATATCCAACATGGTGTTTGCAGCTGGTTGTCAACTTATAAGACTTGTAATTTAGTTAGGACGATAGGATCAACACATAGTCTGCTGAAAGTAAAAGTTAAATTCCAGCACACTTCAGAAATGAATGGTGATGCCCTCATTGGGTAGCTCAGTTGGTTAAAACATTATCTCAATATGCCAAGGTTGGGGGTTCCATCCCCAGTCAGGGCACATGCAAGAATCAACCAGTGAATGCATAAGTAAGTGGAACAACAAATCAATGTTTTCTTCTCTCTGTTTCTGTCTCTACAATAAAAAAGAAAAAAAATGTGGTGATGATGAGTGCTGCTTGTCTCTGAGTATGTGATGGCTCCAGAAGTGAGAGGATGATTCAGGCCCAGGTGTCCAGACAGTTTTAAAGAGTCTAATGGCTTCTGGAATCATGTTGTGCTCTTGGAACTTGGCATAGAAAGAGGGTCATTTTTACATTTTTTCCTCCAATTAAATTGTGACCCCATTTGCATGGTTAAGCCCAGTTTGAGTGTTCAGAGCATTGAAGAAGTCCAGATCAAACATATGGGGTCTATTACATTATTCGGCAACTGAGGCAAGTGGGTGTTCCAGCACAGGTCATGGTCACTGCATTGTGACTGGTTGGTCCTCTTGTCTGCCTCTCCATCTGGTCTATACCTACAAAGTGGAGCCCAGCCACCTGCCCTCATAGTGATATTTACTCCACAAGAGATTTTTTTTGAGACTCTTAAGGTCTGGGGGTAAATCTAGTTGCTCAGTTTAGATTCCAGAGTGTGTTTAGAATCTGAGCTTGGAACAGTTTAACTTTGGAAAGCATGTGGAGCAGGATCTTAGGAAAATGATGTGGAATCTATGCTCCTCCCTCAAGAGGGTTGCACAGATATTTCTTCTGTGGAAGTTTCAGACTAGCTAGCCCAGGAGCAATCAATTCCTGTGATGAGTTCAAGTCATTGGGAAGGGACTTGGGGACTCAATATGGATTCCTAGACTGGTTTTTAGATTCCTTTCTCAAAAGACTGTGTACCTGGAAGAGGCAGTCTCTTCTATGTCCAGGAAAGGTTTACTGAGAACAATGACACCCACTTAGTTGAATTTCAGATACAGTCAGTGGTTAAACACACACTTTCATATTTTGCTTTAGGTAGTGGACCTTGTCCCCAATCCAGTACTGCAGAATTGTCACGGTGTCTCTGTGCTCTGCTGTGTGGGGCAGGGTGCTGAGTTTAAAATGCAAATGCCTCTTTCCATTTTCTTAAACTGTTGCTATATGTGAAAATAAGAGAAAGCATATCTGTTAAAATTTTGATGTAATTGTATTTGAGCCAAAAAATTTTTTAGTTGTGGACATAGTTACTGAATGCCATCTGTGTGTTTGAGGAATCAGCATTACTCACAGGTCCTGTGCCTTCTGCCCCCAGAGGCTGGCTTTGATGTACCGAATGCAGGTCGCAAACATTGACAAATTTGAAGAGAAGCTTCGAGCGGCTGAAGATGAGCTGAATATCGAAGGCAAGGACAGGATCCCAGTTTCCTATAAGCGTACAGGATTCTTTGGAAAGTATGTGTCAATTTTGTTGGTCCTTGAACTAAACCAGGCTTTGATTTGTAATGTAAGAAACAAACTATAAGCAAAAATTTCAAACTGGCCTTCCTACAGTTAACTAGACCCCCTTGTGGGAAGATAAATAATGTATATAATCCTGAAAAATTTGGAAATGTGTGGGATTTGTCTTAGTCACTTGCTTTACTTGTCTGGTTGTATTTATGAATTTAGCACATTGTGGGGTTGCTGTCTTCTACAAATAGGAAAGTGGAATAGAAAGGGGGAAAACACTGATAACCAGCAGAAACTCTTGATTCAGGGTTGCAGAGAGAAATAGAGACCCTAGGCCATAGGCCAGCAGACTCTTTAGTGGGAGCAGATCAATCAGCACAGTCAGGAGGCTCTAACTATATGCTGGGACTAACAGTGGCTGAAGGCCATGTGCAGAGAGAGGTTTACTGTTGACTCATGGACATACTTTGTAATTCTTGTGTTGTTTTTTTTGTGTGTGTGTTTTTTAAAATATATTTTATTGATTTTCACGGAGAGGAATTGAAAGGGATAGAGAGCTAGAAATGTCGATGAGAGAGAAACATCAACCAGCTGCCTCTTGCACCCTCACACTGGGGATGTGCCTGCAACCAATGTACATGCCCTTGACCGGAATCGAACCCGGGACCTTTCGGTCCGCAGGCCAACGCTCTATCCACTGAGCCAAACCGGTTTCGGCTGTACTTTGTAATTCTTACAAGACTTAGTGACTGGCAAGCACATCTGTGAAATGATCTGTTCCTTTAAATTCTACAACTTACTGGCTCCCGAAGGCTCAGGGCTCTGAGGCTGCACCTTTGGTTTACTGTAGGAATAATAGGGGGACAAGGCAGATGGGTGGCATCCCTCTTCACGTGGGGTTTGACATCCCAGGGTGTACTCTTTATGCTAAGCTAATCCTGCCTTACTAACCAAAATTAACGACCTACTTTTTTTTTTTTTTAATATACTTTTATTGATTTCAGAGAGAGGAAGGGAGTGGGGGAGAGAGAGAAGCATCAATGATGAGAGAGAATAATCGATCGGCTGCCTCCTGCATGCCCCCTTCTGGGGATCAAACCTACAACCTGGGTATGTGCCTCTGACTGGAATCGAACCCAGGATCTTTCAGTCCACCGGCCGAGGCCCTAGCCACTGACTTAATGCCATATTTTTGAAAATGAAATTTATCAAATATGAAAACCTGCTCTTAATGGTTTTTTAATTATCACAAGGCTCTAGATAATTGTGTGTGGCATCAGCTATTCTGGCTTCTCACCAAGGTGATATATACTGTATCTAGAGTTTCTACGCTCCAACTGACACTTTGGAAAAACTTTATGAAAAGGGGTAATTGGTGAGAATTGGACAAGGAAACCCATTTTCACAACCATTTGTCCTACATGTTGTTTTCAGAGGGAGGGGTAGCTCTTCTCATCTTTGAAATGTCCATGGTCCCTGATCCCTGACTTTATAAAGCGTGACTGTCAGCTGCCTGGCTGCCACTTCTGAGCCTGTAACTGCTTCTCTTTCTTGCACTAGTGCCCTCTACGCCTTGGGAATGACAGCGGTGGGCTTGGCCATCCTGTGGTATGTTTTTCGATTGGCTGGAATGACAGGAAGGGAAGGAGGATTCAGTGCTTTTGTAAGTTGTACAAATTGCATCTCATTGAACTTGCAGTCTTAGGATTTGTGTGTTTGTTCTGGCTGAATGCTTTTCCTATAAACAACAGAATAAGTGTACAGTGAAAATGAACCTGTTGGAGAGGCCAGCCTGGACCCATAATTTGGCAGTTCATCTTTCCTTCTGTTTGGCTGACTGGAAGGTGTACAGTAACCAGCTTTACCTGAGGGCCCTTTTCCTTGACTTGTTGGGTGGCTGAGCCAAGGGAGTTTATAGGACAGCTTATTCTGCAGTATTCAACATTAGCTGGGCATGACTGTTTTTGGTTTCCCTACTAGCTACACTAAGAAATTTTAAAGGTTATCTTTAAAAGAACATCCATCATATACTTTAAAGATATTCTATTATGTGCCATATTTTGCTCAACCAGTTTGATAATTCTTGCACATTTATGGCTATCTATTTTTGTTGTTGTATTTAAAGAATACTCTGATGAATTCTATGCACATGCATCTTTTGAGTGCCTAGTTATTTGCCTCATGTGCCTTACTAAAAGTAGATTGGGTAAAGTTTACACATCTTTCTAAGACCTTTAGCTACCCTGCCAGATTGCTCTCTAGAAATTTACCTACTAACATTTATACCAAAACTCCCCAGAATTGAGCGTTATTATATTACTTTTAAAAATTTTTATTGAATTTATTGGAGTGATATTGGTTAATAAAATTATATAGGTTTCAGGTGTAAAATTCTATAATGCATCATCAACATTTACATTACTTTTACAATCAGAAAAAAATTTACATGTTAGTGAGAAAGTCATATGGAATATAAAATAATGAAAAAGATTGTTAAGCCCTAGCCGGTTTGGCTCAGTGAGTAGAGCATTGGCCTGCAGACTGAAGGGTCCTTGGTTCAATTCTAGTCAAGGGCATGTACCTTTTGTACCTTGGTTGCAGGCCCCTCCCAGCCCTGGCCCTGGCCAGGACGCATGCAGGAGACAATTAATCGATGTGTTTCTCTCACACTGATGTTCTCTCTGTCTTTTCCTCTCTTCCACTCTAAAAACCAATGGAAAAATGTCCTCAGCTGAGGATTAAAAAAAATAGACATCGTTAAATTACCTAATTTGTGTGTGTGAGTTTTGGGTTTTATTTTATTTTTTAAAATATATTTTTATGGATTACAGAGAGGAAGGGACAGGGAGAGAGAGATAGAAACATAAATGATGAGAGAGAATTTTGATCAGCTGCCTCTTGCATGCCCCACACTGGGGATCGAGCCGGCAACCCTTCCCATGTGTCCTGACTGGGAATGGAACTGTGACCTTCTGATTCACAGGTTGACGCTCAACTACTGAGCCGTGCCTGACTGGGTTGGTTTTATTTATTTATTTTTTTGAGGCAAATTGCTAGATGCTAGAGAGCTTTCTTATAGTTAATGATGTAAACTAAACATTTCCCCTTGTATGTCTGAAATGTGACCTTAACTGCCATCTGTCTGCATGAGTGGAGAGGGTGTGGGCTGGTCCTTCTGGGTGGTGGGAGGAGGGTTTCATGAGATCCTCCAGAAATGGGGTGGTGGGGACTAAGGGTGACACTAGTGGAGCCAACACTGAGGCACTCATCCTCCAGCTCTGGGAGTGCACAGCTCTGTACTCTTTGTTCTTTCTATCCAGAATCAGCTTAGAATGGCTCGTTTCACGATTGTGGATGGCAAGTCGGGGAAGGGAATCAGCTTCAAGGATGTGGCAGGGATGCATGAAGCCAAACTGGAGGTCAAAGAGTTTGTGGATTATCTGAAGGTAAGCACATGTTCTGAACAGGAGATGGTGAGAACTACATTGATCAGATGTGTGTGCCGTCTGGTGAGCTCTCTGTGCTGAGGTGGGGGACAACATGCACTCCACAAACTAAATACACAGTTTTGATCAGCAGAAGGGCTGATAGCCGATCACTGATTATACCCAGAACTGGCTTTTTCCAAAACCATGTGCACCATTGCTGATTTATATCAATACATTAATTTACTTTCAAGGGGTCAGTTTCTTGAGAATTACATAGGAAAATCTGTGGTTAGTGTTACATTATCTGCTGCTTTTGTAGAGCCCAGAGCGCTTCCTTCAGCTTGGTGCCAAAGTTCCAAAGGGTGCACTTCTGCTCGGACCTCCTGGCTGTGGAAAGACACTGCTGGCCAAGGCTGTGGCGACAGAGGCCCAGGTGCCCTTTTTGGCGATGGCTGGCCCGGAGTTTGTGGAGGTCATTGGAGGTAGGCATTACTTGGGCTGCAGACAAGCTCGCCTGACCATTTGTGCATGATTGCCCTCCTTTCACACATTCTCCCTTAGGTGACTGAATTAATGAGGAAATGGGAGGAATAGAGAAGGAAAAATGAAACCTGATTTACTGGAAACATTGTATTTATTCATAGAATTGGGTGATGATGTTCTTTAAAGCTACTTCCGCTTGTGGTTCAGGAGGGTGAGCATACTCTAGGGCAGTGTTTCCCAAACTTTTGACATATGTGTACCCTTTTATAATTTTCGTAATGCTGAGTACCCCTCGTTAAAAAAATAAAATAAAATAAAAATTAAAAAATGGATGTATTAGGCGCAGCTAAGCATGGTGCAGTGCATATCCCCATCAAACTCCGGTGCAATGTGTACCCCCACCAAACTCTTTTTTTTTTTTTTTTTTTTAATAAGTTTTTATTGTTCATATTACAAATGTTCCTTTCCCCCACCCCCCACCATTGCTCTCCTCCACCAGGTTCCCACCCCACCCTCTGCCCTTTCCCCTCTCCCCATTGTCCTCATCCATAGGTGCACAGTTTATGTTCAGTCTCTTCCCACTCCCCCCTCTCCCCTTTTCCCCAAGAATCATCAGTTCACTCCCCTTCCATACCTCTGATTCTATTATATTCAACAGTTAATATTGTTCATCAGATTTTTTTAATTTCCTTGGTTTTTAGATTCACTTGTTGATAGTTACGTATTTGTTGTTCATAATTTTTATCTTTGTTTACTTTCTCTTCTGAAAGAACCCCCTTCAGCAATTCATATAATTCTGGTTTGGTGTTGATGAACTCCTTTAGCTTTTGTTTATTAGTGAAGCTCTTTATCTGGCCTTCGATTCTGAGTGATAGCTTTGCTGGGTAGATTATCTTTGGCTGTAGGTTCTTGCTATTCATCACCTTGAATATTTCTTGCCATTCCCTTCTGGCCTGCATGGTTTCTGTTGAGAAGTCAGCTGACAATCGTAAAGGTGCTCCTTTATAGGTAACTACCTTCTTTGCTCTTGCTTCTTTTAATATTCTCTCTTTGTCTTTTGCTCTTGGAATTTTAATAATGATGTGTCTTGGTGTGGTCCTCTTTGGATTCCTTTTGTTTGGAGTTCTGTACGCTTCCTGGACTTGTAAGTCTAATTCTTTCACCAGTTGGGGGAAGTTTTCTGTCACTATTTCTTTCAGTATGTTTTCGATATCTTGCTCTCTCTCATCTTCTGGGACCCCCATAATTCTGATGTTGGTTCGCTTGAAGTTGTCCCAGAGGTTTCTTACATTATCTTCAATTTTCTGGATTCTCTTGCCTTCTAGCTTCTGTGGAGGAGTGTCTTCTGGCTCTTTATGTTCCAAATCTTTGACTTGATTCTTGCGATCATCCCTCCTGTTTTTAGGACTCTGTAAAATATTTTTTATTTCAGACAATGTATTCTTTATTTCTTGTTGATCCCTTATCATTTCTTGTTGACTCCTTATTAATTCTAGTTGATCTCTTTTCATATCCTCATAGGCCTTATCCATCTTTTCTAGGAAATTCTTGAAAAACCTTATAAGCGTAGATTTGAACTCTATATCCAGACGCTTTTTGTCCTCCAATTCTTTCGTTTGTGATCTATTTTGTTGTCTCATTTCGCAGTTACAGATGGGGCGGGGTTTCAGGGTGGAGCCTGCAGCTTTGGCTTCTGTCAGCCCCGCCCTATGCGGGTCCTTCAGTGCTCGCTGCTGCCGGCGCCTCTGAGAGAAAGGTGCCCTCGATTTTCGCCTGCTGCCAAACAGTCTATGCTCTCCCCCAATGAGCCCGGTATTGGGGTTCAGTTCAGTTGGAAGTGGAGTAGGAGGTGGCGTTCAGAGCAGTCTGGAGCCCCTGTCTCCTTCCCGTCAGGGCAATCCCCCGGCACAGCCGACCGTCCCTTCTCTGCGCTCAGTGTGCGCGCCTCCGGGACCTCCCTCCGCCTCTCCCCGGGGTTCCGCCCCACAGCCCGGCTCCCTGTGGCTGAGCCTGAGTCCCCGGGGTCCGGCCTAGAACTGGGGTCCAGAGCAGTCGGGGGCCCAGCACAGTCGGAGTTTTATCTCCTTTCCGCTGGGGAACGCCCGCCAGGCACTCGGCCTCCCTCCTCTCCGGCTCCGTCCTCTCCGCGCGCCACGTCTCCGTACCTTGGCTTTTCCAGCTCCTCCGCACCTCCTTCTGGTTTTCTCCTTGCTTCTCGCTGTAGAATTTCCAGTCAGTCAACCTTCCTGTAGTTCTGGGCAATGTCCGTTTTATATTTTAGTTGTATTTTATTGAAATTGTTGTGTGCGGCTGCAGCTAGGTGTTCACCTGGGCGCAGCCATCTTGGATCTCCCCCACCAAACTCTTCCCGTACCCCTGGGGGTACGCGTACCACACTTTGGGAAACACTGCTCTAGGGTGACCTACACTGGTTTTGTTTGCATGAGTGGATGCTAGCTGAGATTTCATCATCCTTACTGAGCACTTTTGGCCCCTTACCCAAAAGTAGGGTTCGTTTCCCATTACCGGTCTACTTCCTGATCCTCTGTGTCCCTTCAGGCCTTGGCGCTGCCCGTGTTCGGAGCCTCTTCAAGGAGGCCCGCGCCCGGGCCCCCTGCATCGTCTACATTGATGAGATTGACGCTGTGGGCAAGAAGCGCTCCACCGCCATGTCTGGCTTCTCCAACACAGAGGAGGAGCAGACCCTCAACCAGCTTCTGGTGGAAATGGATGGTGAGCACTCTTCTCGGCTGCTTTTGTGAGGGGAGAAGGGTTTTCAACTCTTTCAGAATAGTTGTTTTCTAGGTGGATCATGCTGCTTATGTTTATCCCAAAACCTTATACTTATGCTCATAGGCATTTTATTTTTCTCCAATCATTGGTCTGTACCTCACCACCTGCCACAGATGATGGTGATCTCAGCACACAGAGAATCATTGTTTAGCAGATAAAAGCTAGAAGCAAGATGAGCTTAAAAACTATTCATCATGCTGTCCTCAAGAAACAAAGGTTTTAATTTTAAAAAGTCAAGGGAATAGTAAAGAAAAGCAACTAGGAATACAAGTCATGGTCAGTCTTGTATAACCCAAAGTGATTGTGCTGTTGTGTGTGTCTATACACTGTCCTGGTTTGAAGGGTGACCAGATGGAGGTGGAGCAGGACAACTTGGAGGCTGATGTGTCTGCTGCACTGAGGGAGCTTCTTTGTTTGCCACCCTTGGAAATGATCCCTGGGCGGCTTCCACACAGATTCTTTTTTTTCTTTCCTTTTTTAATTTTTTAATGGAAAGGATCCAGTGAAGGTGACATGGAATTATTTTCTTTTGAGATACTTTGGTAAGATATTATTTTTTTGTTTGTGTGTGTAGATAGGGTATGTTTTTATTGTAGTGAAGGATACATAGAACATAAAATTTACCATTTTAACCATTTTTCTGTGTACAGGTCAGTGGCATTAAGTACATTCTAATTGTTGATGGTCAACCATCACCAGAACTTTCTCATCCTAAACTGAAACTCTGTCCCTGTTAAACACTAACTCACCATTCTCCTTTCCCAGTCCCTGGCATCCATCCTTCTATTGTCTGTCTGTGAATTCAACTATTCTAGGGGCTTTATATAAATGGAATTATGTAGTATTTATTCTGCCTTATTTGACTTATTTCAATGAGCAGAATTTCCTTCTTTTTAAAGACTGAATAATACTCCATTATGTAGATAGACTACATTTTGTTTATGCATTCGACTGTTGATGAACATGTGTGGCTATTGTGAATAATGGGCATTCAAATATCTTTTCATGTCCTAGCTATGTAAGATCCATTTTTAGCTTTTCTTTAATCAGAATTCTAGTTGTATTTTAGCTATTGTAGATGAGGGAGACACTTTTTTCTCAATGTAATTTTGGTATAAGAAAACTATTTGTGCCGAAACCGGTTTGGCTCACTGGTAGAGCGTCGGTCTGCGGACTGAAAGGTCCCAGGTTTGATTCCGGTCAAGGGCATGTACGTTGGCTGCGGGCACATCCCTGGGATGTGCAGGAGGCGGCTGGTCGATGTTTCTCTTTCATTGATGTTTCTGGCTCTCTATCTCTCTCCCTTCCTCTCTGTAAAAAAATCAATAAAATATATTTTTAAAAAAAGAAAAAAAAAGAAAACTATTTGTGTATTTATTTTCCCTTTTTAAGTTTTCTTACCATTTGGGATGTATATCTATTGTCTAGGATACGGATAGTTGAGTTTGATTGTGTGACCTTTTTTTAACCTTTCATTTTCAAGTAAAATAATCCCAGACTTATAAAAGCATTGTAAAGCCGTCAGAAGAGTTCCTTTATAGCTTCCCCAAGCTTTCTAAGGTTGACATGGCTGTGACCAGGCTCTAAGTGTCCACAAAGTCTCTTCTCAGCCCATGGATATTCTTTTTCTGTTCAGGAAAACATGGCACATTTAGTTGTCCTGTCTCTTTGGTCCCTTCTAGCGTGGGTCCAGCTCTCTGTCTTTTTTATGTGTGACCATGACACTTTTGTAGACCAGTTTCATTTAAGGATGCTGTGCTGGGTCTTCAAATATAGGTTGTTGAGTCATGCATTTTTGACAGGAACAGCACAGCAGTCTTGGTGTAATTCATTGCAGGTGGCACTGCTATGCCTCCTCCCTGGTACTGAGATTATGACTGAGATGGCCTCCATGGGCATGGCAAGGCCTTTCCACACACATTGTTGAGTAGGTCAGATGGACTGATGCATGTGGAAGCATTTTATAAGCTCTGCAAGCTCTCCAGTTTTAAAATTAAGGTATAATTTTTAACAAAGCTTAGGAAAGGGCTATGTTACACTGTAAGAATGGTCCCTCCTGGTGCTAACTTGTAGACACAAACAATCAACATCAGAAGAGCTGCCTTCCACATAAAGAGCAAGCTTTCATGAGAAGAAATTTTCCAAAGAACTCAGTGTCTTTATTTTTTTTTAATATGTTTTTGTTTATTTTATTTTTGTTAATCTTTATCCTAGAATATTTTTTTTCATTGTTTTTTTTTAGAGCGAGTGGAAGGGAGAGACAGAGACAGAGAACCATTGATGTGTGAGAGACACATCAATTGGTGCCTCCTATCTGTGGTCGTGGATTGAGCCTGCAACCCAGACACACGTCCTTGACCAGAATCAAACCTGTGACTCCTCAGGCTGATGCTCCAACTAGTGAGCCAAACTGGCCAGGGCTGTTTTTGTTGGTTTTTAGGGAAAGAGAGAAAAACATCTATTCAGAGAGAAACATCAATCAGTTGCTTACTGTATGCTCCCTACCAGGAATTGATCTGAAACCTGGGCATGTGCTCTGACTTGGAATCGAAGTGGCGACTGTTTCATGCACAGGATGATGCCCAACAAACAGGGGCCAGGGCAAGACCTGGGTGTCTTTAGAGATGTTAGGAGAGTAAGTTGTTGAGAGACACCCTCAAAGATAGGGGCTCTTCAAGAGTACTTTCCAGGCCAGGTTCCAGGGACCCCTACTCTGGGGTCCTTTATGCCAGACCTGCTCTGACTGTTCCTCCACCCAGTGCTTGGCTGTGGCGATTGAGATACGCTTTTCAAGTGAGGCACTATTTTGTAGTTTATAAATTTGCCTGGCTGGTGTTATACAGTGGTTGAGCGTAGACCTATGAACCAGGAGGTCACGGTTCAATTCCCAGTTAAGGCACATGCCCTGGTTGCAGACTCTTTCCCAGTAGGAATGTGCAGAAAGCAGCTGGTCAATGATTCTCTCTCATCATTGATGTTTCTATCTCTCTCCCTCCCTTCCTCTCTGAAATCAATAAAAATATGTTTATATATATTTAAACACATTTTTATATATATACTAGTATGTATTAAAAAGAATTTGCTGTCTGCCCTGGATGGGTAACTAGGTTGGAGTGTTGTCCCGATATCACAAGGTTGCTGTTAGGCACGTACAAGACTCAAACAATGAATGCATAAATAAGTGGAATGACAAATCTGTGTTTCTCTGCCTCTCTTTTTCCCTTTGTTTCCCTCTTTCCCTTCATTTTTGTCCCCCTCCCTCTGAAGGAACCTGAAAAACCTCTCTGGTTTTGTCTATTAATGGGCCAGGTGGGCAGATGGTGGAGATGAGCCAGTCCTGAAGGTACTGGAGCCTAAGGTCTGCTGTCAGCTGTGACAGACCAGGCTGCGACCCATTACTGTGCATGTGATGGCTCAACTTCTGGTTGCCTCTTTATTTTTTTAAAAACATCAATGATAAGAGAGAAGCATTGATTGGCTTCTTCTTGCAGCCCCTCCCCCCTACTGGGTATCGAGCCCACAACCCAGGCATGTGCCCTTGCCCAGCATCGAACCTGGGATTGTTCAGTCTGCAGGCTGATGCTTTATCCACTGAGCCAAACCAGCTAAGACTGGTTATCTCTTTAAAAGAATGAATAATCGCCGAAACCGGTTTGGCCAGTGGACAGAGCGTCAGCCTGGGGACTGAAAGGTCCCGGGTTCAATTCCAGTCAAGGGCATGTACCATGGTTGTGGGCACATCCCCAGTGGAGGGTATACAAGAGGTGGCTGATCAATGATTCTCTCTCATTGATGTTTCTTTTTTTTTTTTTTTTTTTTTTTTTTTTTTTTTTTTTTTTTTTTTTTAAATATATTTTATTGATTTTGTACAGAGAGGAAGGGAGAGAGACAGAGAGTTAGAAACATCGATGAGAGAGAGTCATCGATCAGTTGCCTCTTGCACACCCCCTACTGGGGATATGCCCGCAACCAAGGTACATGCCCTTGACCAGAATCGAACCCGGGTCCCTTCAGTCCCCAAGCCGACGCTCTATCCATTGAGCTAAACCGGTCCCGGCTCTCATTGATGTTTCTAACTAACTATCCCTCTCTCTTTCTCTGTAAAAAATCAATTAAAAAAAAAAGAATGAATAATCTTTGTTTTACTGAGAGGACAAAGATGATTAGTTGGCTGTCCAAACCCAATTTGTCACCAAGTCTCACTGCCCTGCTGGATGCAGTGATGTCCATGTTTGTCAGATGGCTATCCAAGCCTTGGACCCCAGGTGTGCTCGTGGACTGGAAGGTTGCTGTGGGGTTCACACTGGTCATCTCTTCTGAGCCATGGTTTTCTGAGGTTATAGTGATATTAAAGTTCATGACCTCACTTGTGGTTCTGCACCCTTCCGAGTGTGACCGAGCTTCATTCCTGGTGATTATGCAGGGACTCCCACTGTCTCTCACTGTGACTGCACACTCTGGGTCATGGGAAGCTCTACACATCTGTGTCTTTCTGTTTATATTGCTTTTTGCAATGAAGACAGAGACCACCTTTTTGGGCAGACTTGAGCCCACCAAGAAGAATTTACCAGATGGCATCTTCCTTTGAGCTGAACCTCTCTGCGTTGCCATGAAAAGAGCTGCTTCCGCTGAGGATTTGCTCATGCCCGGAATCCCTGACTGAAGTCCTCTTGTTGGGCTAGGCCAGTAGTGAACAAGTCCCTGTGTGCACAGACACAACTGAGCATTCTCATCCCTTCAGCTGTTTCTGAAGAGTCTTTGTTACTCCTTTCTATTCATTGAAGTACAGAGTGTGGAGCAGATGCTAGGCCGGTAGTGGGAAAAACTCACTAAGGAAGAGAAATCTTCATCTCATGGGTCAGACACAGTACACCCTGCAGGACTGCCAGACTTACGTGGGAATGGCAAGTGTATCTAAGAGCACTAGGCCCAGCTAAGCG